ATTGAATAGATCATAGTTTGAAAAATGACTCTTTCAATGAAAAACAAAAGAGTCTGCAATCATCTATCTCGTTTTTATGACGGAAGAATGATGATGAGTAATGGTTTCAAATAGAACATTACCAAATTGACTTCGAATATTTCGATATCCTAATAGTTTCTTTTTTAGCATATTCTTGTACTACTCCTGCAATGTTTAACTCTTACTAAATTACTCTTTATGTATCTGTTTGAATTCGAGATGCGATTTATATTTTAATCTCCGTCGTATTGTGCTATCGTAAGTAGTTTTGTTGAGTTTATGTATGATATGTACTCATAATGAAAAAGTGTTTTTCTTTTTATCAGAGAAAATTAATCATATTAGAAAAAGTAATCGTTTTTATTCACAGTAACCAAACGATTAATTTTTTGTTTCTGAGTAATATCGTATAGGTAAATAAGACACTTCGTAAAGGATTTATTTCAACAGTGCATGTATGCTTGACATTTAACCTCAATGATAGTTCTCGCATTTTTTCATCCTGACTAATTGTTTCAGTTTCTCGTTTGAAATCGGTATCTTTCTAGAATACTAATTCAATGATTTTCTCTCGTAGTTGCATCAAATTACTTCTACGCTGTGAATATACAATGTCGATAATTAACAAAATGCAATTGTAATAAAAAATGGAATATTAGATAGGAACAGTACATATAATTATGCTAAAAGCCTACCTGTCGAGGGCTTCTGGATAGTCAGTGATTCCATGCTAGAAAAAGTGAAATATTAGGCTTTTCGCGTTTCCAGACTACTCTTACCTGACGGTGACCGATGCAGCTGCTCCCTTGCTATTACTTCCACTTGCTCCAGTTGATGAATGTGTAATCTAGAAATAAACAAAAAAAACAACATTAGATATTTTGCAGCATGATCATGTTTGATTAAGTCACTTGTGGTCCAAGTTCAATAAGTTTAACAGGTGAGTTGATTTCTTCCAATTGTACTATGTTCATATCAGAACCTTGTGGAAGACATGCCACAACTTGAAAGCATCGAGCCGCTGGTAAAAGAATTTCGCATTCTTTTGGAAAAGCCGAATGATTTTTAATATCTTTTCCCATTTTGCAATCGATGTTGAACAAAGTTCTAACACCTGTCGAACCAAAAAATTGATCATTGCTCAGCACACTCAGATCTGTCGTACATGAACTGAATCCCCACCAGATTATTTTTTCACCTGTTTTATATGCACTTTGCAAGTTGCCTCTAATTCCACGATAAACGTGCTTCGAAACGGTTGGCAATAATGCAAGAGCCGACAGTAATAACCGTAAATACAAAAACCATGGTTTCAGGGTTTTCCGGTCTTCATTGCGGAGAGTTGAATTGAGTGTATGGAATACGCACTCTTTTTCACTATCCATTTCCATCGTATACAGTATGATAGCAGCTGATTGATCGACTGAAAGGTTATCTGCAGGGGGATCTTCACATTTCCATTTTGCCCAAGCAGCATTATCCTTAACTTTACGTACAATTTTCTCCAGAGGTTCAACGGCTTCTTCCAATGTAACTATTGGTTTTTCTTCATAGCCACTAATTGGCATTAATTTTCGGCGCGGATTTTCTTCAATGTCTGAAAATCGTTGCCTGCGTGTGATTTCTTGATCGACGACTTGTTTAGCGGCCATCTTTGAAATAGTATAGTTTTAGTTGATTGAAATCAAAAATTAAAAATCTACAAAAAAGGACGTCAATTTCTACAACTAAACTATTGAATTATTGTCTATCCAATAAAAAACAGAACGCTTACAAGCAGCAAAAATTCATCAAATTCTTTTCAATCGTCTCTGATCAATACGAAACAGACAATCTTCATTCATAAAAAGTCTTCACAATAAGGTGTAAACCGTAGAAAGAACGAAGGGTGTGGATATGGATGTCGATGTGGGAATGGAATGTGGAATGTGGGCTGGGAGGGGAGTGGGCGTTGCGGGTTTGTAGCGTGGATGTGGGTGTGAGTCTTCTCTTAACTCATACCCACAATCACTCAGACTCACATCCACATCTGGTGGGTCGGTCTTAGTCCAGAAGATAGAGAGTTTAATTGTCTACCGAATGATGCCCAAATTATTCTCCAAAGTCATTTGCTTCCTGGTGAATTATCAAATGGAACATGATGAGTCATACAGTTGGAGAAGTTTCTTCCTCAGAAAAACTCTTCCACTGACACTTCCATCGATTGCCGGCGAATCAGTTGTATTTCACGAGATAGAGACTTTGATTTTCTATCCAATGGTGCTCAAACTATCTTTCGAAGCGTTTGCCTACCTGCCTAAATGTCCACTGGAAAAGGATGAGCCATAGAATTTAAAGGATTTTATCTTAAGACCCCCTCAGAAAATCTAGTTTTTCAGAGAAATATCGAAATTGAGTTTTTATTACAGAAAGATACAGCAGAACTTGCTCTTTCAGAATATCTATAGACTTTTTGAAAACGATCAAATTTTCAAAGACTTATCACATGAAACTTAAAATCTACTACCATGTTTTCGGAGAAATTTTCGTAGTTTTTAAAGATTTTCAGGTTTACAAAAAATAGCGCTTCCAGTGACATTAGCATATTTTTATATTAATCGGCATGTCAGATGGCTTTAGCTTACTGCATCGGTTACGCGCTTTTAAAAAGTTCTATGAAATATATTGGAAATATGCTATTGTGATGTGTTTTTCTCTGAATTTGAACGAAAAGTCCATTTCTAAAGCTTCTTTAGCGTTTTTCTCAAAACATGGTTTTCGATCAGGAAAATTGGAATCACTCCTTCATATCTTGAGCTAGAACTTATATTTTTTTTTGTTTTAAAGGTCTAAACGAGAGTAAACTTTTCATCAACCAGTTTTTTTAAAGTCGACTCCTGGGCTGAGAAAAATGGGATTTACTGTCGTCGGATCACCGTTTTTTATGCTCATTTTAAAACATGTTTACCAAAATACTCATAAAAAAACAATAATGCATAATTTAAAAATTCTGTCTGATGAAAAGTTGTGTACTGACATTGGCTTCAATTTGAAACCACCCCGAGCCCTGTACCTTGTATTACGACGAAGTGATGTCGATTCTCCTGAAGGCCAAAAATGACCTATGATTCAACTGAAACTCCGGTCTAGTAAGGCCAATGGTACTGAAATTTTTACCAGAGACGTATCTCTCCAGGATCACTCATCCCTGAAATTTTCAGCTCACAAGACCCATTTAAAGTTGGAAATCATTTCTGAGTGGGGAGGGGGGCGTAAGAAAATCCTTTTTATTAACAGTTTCATCCATTACTGGTGTATCAGTTATGCTTCACAAGATAGAAAATTCAATTCTCTATCGAATGATGTCAATTGAAGTTTCCGCTTCATTTTCTTCGTGGTTAAGTGCCATGAACGTGAGCATGATGAAGCATACAAATGACGATAGTATCTTTCTGGAAAGACTCCTTCCTGCTATAGACACAATTAAATGCCGGTGGTTCAGTTAATGTGAATGCTTTTGAGAATTTAATTGAATATTTAATAGTGCTGAATACTGTCGGCGTATTGATATGTTATCTGGAGAACCAACCATTTAATTATGATGACTCATAACCTCGAAGATACTTTTTTCTGAACAAATGCTGTCGGTCGACAGTAGTATTCGTTGCTAGTTAACCTATGGGGAAAAGGATCCGATGGAGAAGTTGATCCCAAATCGGATGGTATTAATTTCGGGTTAGGTCTATGCTTGCTATGCCTGGAAGATGTCCATAGAAATGTAATGTACGATGCCTATGTAGGAGTTTAGGCTTTTGTAGGGGATTAGCGGTGGTAGCTTGGCCTACTGCCGGTGAAGAAACGTATATGATTAGGATCGCGAGTAGCTATATGAATCAGATTGAACAAATGGGATCAAATGAATATTTCCGCTTGATCGGAAGGAGTGGTTGCGACAAGTATGTCTGATGGCTGTGGTGAGTCAGTAGTAAAATGGAATGTCTAATCATGGAGGAATTAGTGTTGGAGGAATAGGATTGTGTGGTCGGTTGGAAAAATTTGAATTTGTTGGAATAGTCGGTATTTTCTGGAAGACACGGTTTTTTTACTGCACTTGAAATGGATTGTCAAGCAATATTGAATAAGCTGTTAGTAGGAAAGTTTTCTATTTGGGAAGAAGTTGGTATTGATGCAGACTTCTGCCTGCAGTGAATGTTTTGGAGTAGGGATGGGACTTGACCTTTACTTTACTAGTAACTGCATATTTACTTAGTTACCAGTAACTTAGTAACTGCCAACTACTTCAGTTATCTTAGAATCGCTTTAAGCAGTACAATATAGATATGAAGTGTTAATCATGGGAATGAGGTACTAAATGTAAGTAACTGCTATAGGATAAATAAAACACTTCAGATTCTTAAAAGAGAGCTTCCGCACAATCACAACTCTGTATACAGAAACTAAGCATTGAGAAGTTATGCAACGTTTTAGATAGTTCAACAAACTGTTAAAGATATAAATAAGGACTTACACGTTGATATTTTGAACGACGTAAGGCTTAAAGGAATAATATACATAAAGGGTGTGTCCTAAGCTTTGATCCCTTCAAGTACTACTCATTTGTTATATGTTTTTTCGGCAGAATAGGCTAATATTCACAACATAGGTAATAGACATCTAAATCTACTCTACTCTAAAATTTCAGCTTTTTACCTCTTAGGGTCGCAGATATACAAGTAACTTAAAATTCATGGGAAAATTTTGAAATAATTAACGTGTAGACCAGTATAATTGACTGCATTTTATATTTTATTTTTTCATCATCTAATACATTATATTAAACAACAAAAATATACCATAGAATGCGACGTGAAAAGCTCTACAACTACATAGAGAAGCTTATTTTAATTGTGTACTTTTTGTCTTCAAAACAAGTCAAATTCGGTGAGGCCAGTTTTCGACGCTGTGAAAAGTGATCGCACATATTTTTAGAAAAAAAGTGCATAATTAAAATAAGATTCATCATGTAGATTGTAGAGCTTTTCACGCTGCATCTCGAGGTATATTGTGTTTCTTTTTTAAGGTGACGTATTAGGTGATAAAAGGATGAATAAGCAAAAATGAATTTTTCATTCGTATAGAAAAAAGTGATCTTTTTGCGATTTTTCTTTTTCAGAACAAAATGTACACAATTAAAATAATCTTTACTATAAAGGTTATAGAGATTTTCAGGCTGCATGTTGTGGTATATTTTTGTCTTTAATATAACATATTAGATGATGAGAAAATAAAATGCAAAATGTGGCAATTTATTCTGACTCACTCGCTATTACAAGAAATTCCTATGAATTTTAAGTTACTTGCATATCTGCGACCATAAGAGTTAGAAAGCTGAAATTCTAGTGTAGAATAGATTTAGATGTCTAGTACCTATGCTATGAATATTAGCCTACTCTGCCGAAAAAACATATAACAAATGAGTATTAATTGAAGGGATCAAAACTTAAGGCACACCATTTATATCAATCTTTCAGTACTGAAACAGCAAGTTTCATATGAAAAGCAATGCTGCTCGATTGATTTAACAATTTAGAATGAGCAATAAAGGTTAAATATCGATTTAAAGGTGCAGATTTAGGAATTTAAGAAGAGATTTTCGGATTCGGATTCAACATTAGGGATGAAAAATAGATTTGAAAGGATAGATTTACGAATAAAGGGGCTCGGATCACTTGGCCGACACCATTTCGCCGACAAATATTTGAAGTCAAAAAGAATTAAATTTTTTTGTAGAGTGTCTTCAATAATATGGAATTTGAATTGCTGAGAACTCAAAGAAAAAGTCGAAGCCTGACATTGACGCCGGGAAATGCTAATTGTTCAAGCTCATGTTGGCATATTCATTATGACTAAAAAAATGCAAAAAAAGCAAAATGAAGCTGAAATGGAAGCTGAAAAACTGTTGCACAGAGAACCAGCTTCAAAGAAACGCGAGGAAGATAAAAACAGAGAAATCCAAATTCAAAATGTTATTGCTTATCGCGGTAATAGATCAGCCATCATTTTCTTCGAGGCATTGACCATGATCTTTCATTATAAATATTTGCGGCTTTTAATAATAAGACTTTCTAATGCAAGATTTTCAAGGAGTTTTAATTTTTTGAACTTGAAATATTTGTCGGCGAAACAGTGTCGGCCAACTGATGTGTCCGTCAAGTGATTGCCGATTAAGCGAACGCGATCCGAACAAGAAGGCCAAAACAATTTAGAAAAAGGATGCCTCACGAGGGAACCTTTTCAACTGTACAATCCCTTTTGAGTTCGAAC